TTTTCTATTGTAGGGCAACTTACGCGCAACTTACGCCCAAACCAATGTTAAATCGGGAATCCAATCGGTCAACGTTCAGCCTTTGACAACAGCCGTAAGCCGTGATAGGTCTCGGCGCTGCTTCACGCTTGCCAAGAACTGTCAAGTGTTATCAAGGCTTGACCAGGGTCAAGAAGGTACGCCAAAGGCTTTTCATGCGCTGTCAAAGCAAAAAAAAGAAATCAATAATCCGCCGATCCGGCGTGTGAATTTCAGGGGTTCGGGGTGACCGGGGTGGCTTTGCTGGGGAGGGGGAGGGAGGGGAGGGGGGGGGTCGTGGCGTGGGTTTATGTCGGCGTTGTGGGGGGGGGTATGGTGGCGGTGGGGGTGGTGTGTCGTGGCGTGGGTGCTTTAAAAAACAAATTGGATTCTTTTCCTTGAAACCGCCACAGAACGCTTGGTTTGCCGGGGGGGGGAGGGGGGGGGAGGGTTCCGGTGGCGTGGGAAGGGGGGGGGGTCCGGTGGCGTGGGTTCTGGTGGCGTGGGGGGGAGGTCCGGTGGCGTGGGTTTGCTTTAAAAACCATGGGATTTTTTTTTAGAAATCGCCTCAGAACGCTTGGTTTTGGTGTCAGGGCGGGGGGGTCTGGCGGTTTCCGGGGGTGTTTTTACAGAAAGACTCTCTGCAGATGCGCTCAAGGGGTGGCGCGCGGGCTTTGCAGCTTTTGCAGAAGGACCCTCTGTAGATGCGCTCAAGGGGTGGCGGATCTGGTGCTTTGACAGAAGGACCCTCTGTAGATTCGCCCAAGGGGTGGCGGCTGTGCTGCTTTTACAGGAAAACCCTCTGTAGGTGCGTTCAACGGGTCGCGCGTGGAATTTGCAGCTTTTACAAGAAGACCCTCTGAGAGATAGGTGGGAAAGAAGAAGAGGAGCATGAGGAGAGGGAGGAAGGGGTGACACGGAGGACGCGTCGATCCTCCATCCTCGGACCCTCAGCACCACGCCCTACCGAGATATGCACGTTTCTCCGTCCTTTTGCTGGGAATGAACACAGAGGGAAAAAGAGAAAAGCAAAGGACTTGTTGTCCCAAATGTTTGGCTACAACTGGTTTCGTTTCGTCCCGGACTTTCGGCGACAGGTTCCAGGCCGTCGTCCCCGATGTGCGGACCGCACTTACGCTTCACGCATCCCTGCCAACCTGTCCAGAATTCACGCCCAGACGAGTTCAATTGAGAGAAGCGACCAAAAAACAAACAATGTGTTGTCCCGGATGTTCGCCAGTTGTTTGTTCGTTTTCGACCTCGTCTTTCGGCGCTGCCGCCGCGGCGTCGTTCCAAAAATTTGGAAAAAACGCAAGCTTCACGCATCCCCGCGAACCTCTTAAAAATGACGGCCCGACGAGTTCAGGTCTGTGCTTCTGTGCGAGGGTGCGTGTGTGGTGCGTGTCTGCGAGTGTCTGTGCGTGCTAGTGTCTGGCGCGCGCCTAGTGTGTCTCTGGATGTGTGTGCGCCGTGTGTGCATTTGGTAATGTGTGTGCGTGAAGTGTGCGCGTGGTATGTGTATCCGATGGGCGTGCGCGCGCGTGCGTTTCCTGAGTGGGCATGCGTGTGTGGGTAGTGGTGTGTGTGCATGTCTGTGGCGCGGTTTGGGTGGTGTGTGTAGTTATCTGACATGAGTGTGTGCGGGTGTTCATATGTACGTGGGTGAGTACGTGAGTATCTTGGTGGTGTGTGTCCATGTGTGTGTGTGTGTCGTGTGCTTGTGTTCATGTGGGCGTGCGTGCGTGTGTGCGCGCGTGTGCACGGTGCTCGCGCGCGAGTGCCGGGCGCGGCGTGTTCGCGCGAGAGACAAATAAACAGTCGGGGGGGTGATCAGAAACGATAATGTTAATGTTGTGGAAACTGATCGTGGTGGCGCGCGCGCGAGTGCGGAATGGCGCGGCCAGGAACTGGCCAAAGGCAGCGACAAAGTAGTGTGCGCGGGTGGCGTGTGGTGTGTGTGTGTGTGTGTGTGTGTGTGTGTTTGCGTGTGTGTGTGTGCGTTTGTGTGTGTGTGTGTGTGTGTGTGTGTGTTTGAGCGTGCGCCCGTAATGTCTGCGTCTGGGGGGTAACCCCGAGCGACCCGGATCGGCGGCACTAGCCGAAGTCTACTTGAATTTTAAAGAAACACCAAGACAACGAGCCATGAAACACAACAGTGAAGACATCTCAGAAACAAAGACAAACATGTAGAACAAGCGTCATGAACAATTCGTGACTCACGGGGGTCTGGGTCTGCTGGGTTGGCGGCGGATTTGCCCTCGGCAAGCATTCCAGCGCGCATCCCCTTTCAGAAGATGCGCGCTGGAATGCTAGCAGCGCGTTGCTCGTCGACCGTTCGCTTACAGTCCGACAGGAGGCCAGTCGATGTTTAGCAAACCTTTGATTTCATGCCACCACGGGGAACGGTGGCGGGCGCGCCGGGCGCGAATCCTGGTCAAGTAAACTAACAATTTTGGCTGCAGCAGCCCGAACGGTCAACAGACACAACATTCCTTCCAACCGAGGTCCCACAACGGTGCGGTGACAGACCGTGTGGTGACCTCGAAACCTGCAAAGTTCGCACCGCAAGGTCCGTCAACGTACTGTTCAAGGACCTTGGATTAGGTCGGGCCTTTCCCCCTACAGGCGGGTTTTGGGCGAACAACAGAAATATACAAAAAATGATCAAAACCGGCCAGCAAGTACTCAAAACATCGTCCCCAGACTTTGTTTTGGAACATGTTTGACACTTTCTTACCTATCTTGAATTTCTCTCCTGTAGAGGGACAGGCCCCCTTGGAAACTCCAATTGTTTAAGGCATCCTCGGAGAACGGCACAAGTCCCACAACCGTGCGGTTAGGTCGGGCATGTCCCCCTACAGGAGAATTTTGAAGGAAACATTAAAGGTAGTAAAGTCATGCTCGCCCAAAATAGCACAAAAATAATCCCCAGACTATCTCTGGACTACTTTTGAATTTTCCTCCTGCGGAGGGACAGGCCCGACTTACTCGTGCGTTCACCCCGCATCCCCACCACCTCACCGCACGGTGTGGTCACCGCTCCCTGGGGGGCCCCGACAGAGGCTCGAAGGCTGGCACTCTCGCCCCGGCTCGGGACCTCGGGGGCGCTCACGGATCGACCCAGCCCCAGGGCAGGCCACGAAAAGATTCGGATGCCCTGGAGTGGGTGCGGACAAACCTTGGTACCATCCCGAACCAGACATGTTGTCCAGAACCGACAGCGGCCGCTGTTAGGCAGGCGGCTGCTCGCCTTCACTGAGCCGCGTCCGCGGCGGCGCGGACAGGGAGTCCTGTTCAAAATGAACAGGAACTGCTGTTGGGCATCGTACCCCATCTTTCTGTACCCACTTCGATCGTCCCGAAAAGCGATGAGGTCAGGAGCCCCTGTCGCCCAAAAAAGGCTCGACGGCTGGCATTCTCGCCCCGGCTCGGGACCTCCGGGACCTCCGGGACCTCGGCGGCGGTGGCGGCGGCGGCGTCGGCGACCTCGGCGGCGGCGGCGGCGGCGGCGGCGTCGGCGTTGGCGTCGGCGTCGGCGTCGGTGTCGGCGTCGTCGTCGGCTCGGGACCTCTGGGGCCCCCAGGGCATGCCGCAACAAGAGATGAGTGGCATCGATAGGGGGGGACTGGCATAGGGGGGACGCATCGACCTGGAATCGGCGATACGTCGCCGATAGATCGGCGATAGGCCCCCGAAGGCCCCCAATAGTGAATCCGCACCTTCCTGCGCAGGTTGTTGGGGCTGTTGGGCCCCCATCGGCGATCAATGGGCGATCGGGGGTCGATGCGTCCCCCCCTTTGCCTATCCCCCCCTGTCGTTGCCCCCGAAGAGATGAGGCCATGAGGCCCGGTCGCCACAAAAAAAACCCGCGCCGCCTCGCCAGGGAGGTCCCCGGGGGCCTCCCCGGGGCCCCTCGCGGCCAAGCTCGAGGAATGCCGCAGGAGAACGGGGCCAGCTCCTACAGTAGGGTTAGGTCAGGCGTGTCCTCCTACAGGCGGTTTTTGATCGAAAGATCAAAAAACAATAGACAAATAGTAAAAAATGCTCAAACATACTCAAAAAATAGTCCCCAGACTATTTGGACTATTTTTGAACTTTCCTCCTGCAGAGGGACAGGCCCGACTTCACAAGAAACCTCCCACGAGGAACCCAACCCTGAGACCCCAGGGCGTACATTGATTTTCGGCGTGGGAACGTCAGGCTTTCCATGGCAAAACCACCGAAACCCAAGAAACCCAGGGCACCCTAGAGACAAGCTGGGTGTTTCTTGGCATGGGTCTCCACTGTATAGAAAGAGCCGACGTCGCGAAAAAGCATGTGACATCGTAGGGAAGAGCCTTCTCTCAGTCAGACTCTGGCGAGTTTACTTGCATGGGATTCTGCCTCTGCCCTCGCCTCCCCTTCAGTCGGTGCTGGGCCGGGAGAGCGTGCGAGTAACTTTCGGCCTGCGTCATCTCCAACTTTTCCCTCATGTGACTCGCCAGGAGCCGTCCCTCCACGCAAGAAACCCGGTCATGCGATGACTTGTTTTTCACTACGTGGTGCCTGGAAACCCCCACCTTTCCCCAGGGTGGGTTTTTCATTCCGAGCCGTTTTTTGTCGGTCGGGGGCCTGGTGGGGGCCTCCAAAAGCCGCGAAAGGCCAACAAAAACCTCCCGTCATGATTTCCTCGCGGTGCGCGCATTTGACCAGGGATCGACCCGCCTGGTATCCTATAGGCCTGCCGCGACATGTTCTTAGAACCCAACAGCGTTCGAATAACATCAGGAATGCTCTTCTAACACAAACCCGAATGTTCTAAGAACATTGCGTGTAAATCACGAAAAGGTTCTTACAACATTCTTAAATGGGCCTACAGAGAAGCCGGGACGCCTCTTCACTGCTTGAAGGATGTTTGGGGAAAATCTGCTAGAAACTGTTCAATAACAAACTCAGATCAAGACCGGGGACGGCACCGCAAGGCTGGCCGGCGCGGTGGGGCCTCAGGCGGAAAGCGTCGGAGAGCTTGTTCTGGGGCACCGCCTTGACGAAGTGCTGGGCCGGCGCGCTCCAGATCAGGAGGCCCCCTCCTCATCCTCATCCTCACCCTCGCCCTCGTCCTCATCCTGTTCCTCCTCCTCCTCCTGTTCCTCCTCCTCCTCCTCCTCCTCCTCTGGATCGCCGCGACCGTCTCTGGCATGGTGCATAGACTGCTTACTGGCTGCGTACTACTACTACTACTACTACTACTACTACTACTACTACTACTTTTACTTTTACTTTTACTGCGACTACTACGACTACTGCGACTACTACGACTACTACGACTACTACTACTACTACTACTACTACTACTACTACCTTGTACTACCTTCTACTACCTTCTTCTACTACTACTACTACTACTACTGCTGCTGCTGCTGCTGCTACTACTGCGACTAGTACTACTACTACTGCTACTACTACAACAACAACAACAACTACTACTACTACTACTACTATTACTACGGCTACGATTGCGACGACGACGACGACGACTACTACTACTACTACTAGAAACTACTAGTACTACTAGTCGTACTCGTACTACTAGTACTACTAGTACTAGTACTGGAACTAGCACTAGTACCAGTACCAGTAGTAGTAGTAGTAGTAGTAGTAGTAGTAGTAGTAGTAGTCGTAGTAGTAGTAGTAGTAGTAGTAGTAGTAGTAGTAGTAGTAGTAGTAGTAGTAGTAGTAGTAGTAGTAGTAGTAGTAGTAGTAGTAGTAGTAGTAGTAGTAGTAGAGTTAGTGTAGTAGTAGTAGTAGTAGTAGTAGTAGTAGTAGTAATAGTAGTTAGTAGTAGTAGTAGTAGTAGTAGTAGTAGTAGT